AGGGTTGAATTGCCTCCATTTGTACATGGTCTGCCTGACAGTGAACTGGTGGGAGTCCAAACTTTTCCAGCCTGGTGAGCATCAATAACTGTTTTTAGGAGGTCCTCAGAAATCTCCTTTGTTTGAGCCATGACACACTTCCACATCCCTGTGTTGTAAAGATCACACTTTGATAGTGAATACCCAGAATTCTGTTCTTTAAGGCAGGACCTCCTACACTTACACCTGATTATCATCCCATTGATCGAAACACTTGACTCTAATTTCCCTTTCAAATGAACTAATAATCCTAGATGTTCACATACTTTTGCCACACACAAATATGTAGCTTTGGATCATTTTCCTCAGTGAATAAATGAATAAATGAATATATTGATATTTGTTTAATTGGGTTCTTTTTATCTAGTTTTAGGACTTGTGTGGCGAACAGATCACGTTTTAGGTCATATTTATGCAGGCACATTGAAAATTCAAAAGGGTTCACAAACTTTTAAACACTGTGTGTGTATATATATACACATACACACACACACTGACTTTCCAGCTGAATACAAAATTTGTGGTCTATTTCAGTGGGACTTTAAAAAAATATCAGATATTTGGATGTTCACAGAAAATTCTTGTGCAACAAACTGATGAAAAGGAATTGTTGGGATTTCTGCTGTTGAATTTGTTTTTATAGGTAAGGAACAGTGACTTAGTTTGCTAGCATGCTCTTCTGCCCTGTTATATGGATTGTAGTCTTGATGAAAATCAAATTCATGACTTAAAGGATTGGTCCCCCATAGAAAAATATGAAGAAAAATATGGTTTTGAGTAAATCAGCAACATTGTGTAATCTGCACAAAACTATATGTTTTCCTTCATACTTTTAAAAGTAATTAAAAATTAGTCTTCTGTGACACTTAAGCTAAACATTTTCACCAAACCTTTCAAAGTTAGCCATTTTCCTGTAAGTAGACTTCCCTTTGTCTGCATCCTGAACTTCTCCAAATCCTTGAGGATTCTGGCTTATTTTGAGGCTGCTGTTTCTTCTCAGTATCAATACTAACTTCTGTATTGTTTTAAAAAGGCAGTTTTTCTCCCTAGGAGAAAGGGAGGGGGTTAGGAGTAACATATCCAAATGATATGTCATTTCTAGAAATGCCTCGGTTAGCTTGAAAATGTATTAAAACTCAGGTACTGCTGGTTGTTATTGAATATGGGGTGATGGTTTGTTTGCCCATTCACTACAGTAACTAACTAAAAACAGCAGTTAACATTACTAGAACTAGAGCCCAAAGCTATAAAGCTTCCATTAAAAACAGCTTTAAAATCCTATTGATTTATAGAAAAGATTGAAATAATTACTTTTTCTAGAAACTCCACAATGCTGAAAGTTTAATTTTTTATAATTTCCTGTAAGTTTTCCTATGTTTTTGCTCACAAGGAATAGAATAGGACCGTAATTTTTTTAGAAGTTGGGTAACTATAAGGTAAATGAGATGGATGCTAATCCAAGCAATAAAATAGTTCTAAATTCAATAATATAACCAGTTTCCACTATATTCATAGCTTATGCTAAATCAAACTTGTAATAATCTGTTCTTATAAGGACTTTCTCTTACGTATAATTTTTCTCTTTCACTAGCTTTTTACTGTATTCAATATAAAAATAATAAAACAGTTTTTAAAGGAAAACTTAGGATCTTAAGATTTGCTAACTTCAAAAGTATTTAAAATTGTTTTAGGAATATCTTAATTATCTCTGTGTATGAATATGTGTAGATAGGTCTATTTATGTGGAGTCCTTGGGGTTCTCTGAACTTGGTTCTTTTCTTGCAAACGTTTCATTACCCAG